AATTGTGCCACACATGTTACATATCGTCGCGAGCATCAGAGTGAGAGCAATAATTCTAGGCCCATCAATCATTGTTAGCACTAAACTGATGAGCCGTAAAAGCGTTTAAAGCGGCGCCTATGGGACATTTTGGTTATTGTAGTTTTTTGTGGTTTCACGGACACACACAATTTTAAGGCTTGACATGTTTGGTATCTATTTATCATTTGTGTATTTATCCTAAAAAATACTTGCAAACACAGTGCAACATAAACAATTGCAACTAGCATCTTTTCATTCTACATTGCCTCTGCTTTCAGGAAATATATAATTCTGGGGGGCGTGGCTTGGCTATGGCGACGTGAGGAAGCACATTGCTTGAGCTCTGCTATCTCCGGGGATATTTCAGGTGACCACGACATCCTACAACCCGGTTCTTGATGTCGCAGAAGAACAAATCCCGGTCTAACAACAGCAAGCGCTACCTCTCCACCTCGGCACCGCCGACCCGCAACACCCCTAGGACGGCCATGGCTCCTGAGGCGCAGGGTAAGACCCAGGGGCCTACACCTCCACGCCCGCCTCGTGGTGCCCCGGCCTCGCCGACCACTCGAATCCCGGAACCCTCACTCCACTGCGGGCATCCGACTTGCCACCCAGCCCTAGCCTGATTGAGGACCCGATTATCCACCTCACTCCGACCCCACAACAACCACCAGAGGTGATGTCCTCCCTCTCCGCCAGCGAGATCTCCTCCATTCTCCTCTCCCTCCCCACGCGGCTAGATATGGCCGCCCTGGTCACTAAAATGGAGGCCGCGCTGAAGAGAGACATAGCGGGCATCCACAAGACAAGTCTCCCATCTAGAAACGAAAGTTTCCACCCTGTCTGACGATCAGGCCTACCTGTCTCGCCGGCTTGACCATCTGCCTATGATCGCCACCTCTCTACCCTGTTCCTGGCCCACAACGACCTTGAGAACAGGTCCTGGCGGAACAACGTGAAACTCTGGAGGCTCCCGGAGGCCACTGATGCTGCAGACTGCAGACCTCCGCCCCACAGTGTCAGCCATCCTTATCTCCATCCTGGATAAGGCCCCGGACTCCCCCCTAGAGATTGACCGGGTCCACCGCGTGGGAGGACCCAGACCAGACGGAGATTCTCGGCCTAGAGACATTCTCTGCCGCATCCACTTTTTCGCTGTGAAGGAAACCATAATGTGCAAAGCATGGCAGAGGGGCCCTGTCCCCTTTGATGGAGTTGACATATCTATCCTCCCGGACCTGTCTCGCTGCATGCGCCGACTCCTACAACCCCTTCTTGCCGAGATCCGACAGGCTGGTGGCCTCTACACCTGGGGCTACCCTTTTAGCTTGAATGTGCGCCGGAACGGCCGGTCCTTCATCCTTCGCCACCCGGCCCAGCTGAAGGATCTCTTCTCTTTCCTGGAAGTAGCTCCTGTGGCGGTCCCCGACTGGCTCGGCCCAGACCTGGACGCTGAGCACCGTCCTCCACCCCAGCGAAGACACCACCGCAGCTCATCTTGGAGCAGGCCCAGGGCACCACGCCCTGCACCCACGTCTAACGAACCTTGATTTCCTGGAACCTGGTGGTGAAATGCCCTGCTGTTCTGGGACCGGACCTGCACTAACAACCCCCCACAGGGGCACCGGATAACCTCCTGCCTCACCGGCCACTGATGGAGACCCCGATATCTGGCGCCCCCTCGACACAAGGCCTGCAATGCAATGGACCCACACTCTGTCCCCGGGACACTCGTGAGGTAACTGCCCCCCCCTGACCCTCCACCGTTGCAGCCCATCTCAGTCGGCACAGACTGTCCCCGGTGCTATACCCCTTTCCTGCAGTATCCTCGAGGAAGCTTGTACCGCTAAACTGCCTCTCCACCTCATGCTTTGTTTACCAATCTGCACTGGGACTGCCGTGACCGGGCCACAAGGTACCCCCTTTCTCCCCATACCGTCCCTCGAGGAGACCCACCGCCCATATGACACCACCCTTTCAGACTCAGTGGACACCCCTATCCCTCCCAATCCCCCCCCCCCCCCCCCTCTCCCCCTCCCCCCCCCCCACCC